CAGCTGCTTCCTCACCCCAATGCCTGAAGCAATCAGTGTCAATAAAAATCTAAAACAGAGGAAGCGAAACAAAACTCAAGAAAAGGCTCCAAATAAAAGGAGTGATGATTTCCTGCAACACTCAAACGACTTGAAAAAATAAAGCACCTGGGAGGCAAACAGAGAATGAGTGGAATGAAAAGGAATTGATGGAAAGCTGAAGAGGAGTCTAATCACTCAGGAAACCAGGGGAAAGGTGCATGATGGATGTTTCCACATACTTTCTTGGTAGTCAAGGAAACAGTTTTTATCTGTCTGATGAGTAAGGCTGTTCACTCACTGAACTTCTGTCTCAGTTATCAGGTTAACGGTACTCAGATTTCTCCTGGTCTCTGAGTGCAGTGATTACTTTTTGCAGGATGGAGTCTTGCACTTTTCCCAGTTCCAGCCAGGAGCTAACAACTCTACCAACGCTCATTATCCAAGCATGCTAGTTACATTACTAATTACCTGCAACTCTACTTATTCAGGTCATTCGGTGATAAGAGATCATTCTTAAAATATCTGTTTGGAATTGAAATATTTCAGAGAAAAATGGATTCTAACCCCCACCCCCCGACAATCTACATACATGTCTAATGTCCATAAAACTTATTATTCCCTGTATATTCGGGAAGCCTTTAAGTGGCTTCAGCTTCTGTGTCTGGACTTCAACAATTTCTTCTGCCCTTTCCCAAGAGAGTCCCTTTTCACTGTGCAATAAGCATTTGATCTTCCAAATTCCCAGTTATGGTAAAAAAAAGCTATGCAACCTTAGGTTATTAGGCAAAAGTCATTATGCTGAAATTGCCTCTGGTGTAAAACATTGCCTTGGAATTAGCTAGAAGGTGCTGGATCCCTAATTGCTATGTGGCTTCCTGCTCCTTATTCCAACAGCACTCTGTCCAGAGCAATACAGCCTTCCTCTTGGAAAGCCCAGTAACTCGGTCTAACTGTTCTGGGCTAACCCTGCCACGTGCAGTCATTGTGTATCAGCACTCTTAAATTGCATAGCAGGTACCCCATGTTTTATTTAGAAGTCCACATATCTTTGCAATCATTTTAAGCAAGGATATTTATAAAGGCTCAAGACACACTGTCCCTAGAAGCAGCAGTATTTTTATAGGGTAGACATACTATTTCTTATGTTGACAGGTCAGAACTTCTAATAGATATCGTGGTTTTCTGCAGTTATGTCTAGAGCATATCGAGATACAATTGGAGATACTACTACAATTTTTTTTGTGCTGGGAGATAATAACACATCACAAATTTGTTGGGGAAAAGGTTCGTAAGACTATTTTTATAATTAGGAAAAAGGAAATTGAAGTTAGGATAAAATCTCTGTAAAATCAAAATAAATTTATTTGATGAAACAGTAATTTTATGGGCAATTAGAACACAATTTGCTTTGGACTGATGCTGTAAGGCTCATTTACTTTATTTAGAGAAGTACCTTCTATTCATCACCATTGTATCTGAGGGCCCCCTGAACAGACACTAAGTTTTGTTCTACTAACAAGAACCCGCTTTGGCATGTTAGCAGCTGGAGCAGCTGTTCCAGTGACGGGATTTCTGTGAGCCTAAGCCAAGATGGGTTTATATGTGGAAGAATTTGGAAGGCCTATCAGGCTCATATTTTGAGAAAATAACACCATTTAATGCTACTCTTCACACCACTCGCTGTAGCAGTTAGGTGGAAGAAAATGATTGATGGTTGGGATTCAGAGCAAGGATAATGATGAATAATGCAAGAGATGTAACTCAGCACTGAGTTAGATTAGTGGTTTTATCTTTCATTTATTACAACTCATACAGAAATGTTCATACACTTTTTGGTTGTAATTATGTTGGGCAATGTCTTCACCAGGTAGGCTGTAGAGAAGTACATTTGTAATTTTTGAAAGAAAAAAAGACAGTTACTTTGTTAGATTTGTGCTTTGGCACATATGTGTGTGTGCTTGTGTAAGTATAGATCTGAATATATGTATACACACACATATATACACACACACGAACACACATAAATGTGTGAAACCAAGGTTAACGTGTAAAGACAGGATGTACCGATCTATTATGCTGCTGAGAAGAAAAATATAGATGCTCAGATAAAGAATATGCAAGGTAGCAAACTGGTTTTGCCATGGTTTTAAACATACAGTTACCTCTGTGCCAATACAAGAACTTGGATTTGAATTCATCTTCCAAGTGTATAACTGAACTGCATGTTTAGTTCACACAGCCGAATTCATTGCTGGTGTAATTCCACCGAGTACAGAGAATCACCCCAACAAGACAACTTACTCCCATTTACTAAAATAAACATAAATAAATGAGTTACGCCAAACAAGAATTTGGTCCCAAACCTGCTCCATTTGCACTTCTTCTAGTTCGCTGCAATTCCCACGGGTAGCATGCCCACAGAAGTAGGCCAGAGCAATACTCTGTGCATCTAACAATGAATTGTGAATTCACTAAGTTCACACTAAGTATACGGTATGCTTCCTAAACCAAGGAAAAGAATTTTGCAACTTAGCCATCAGAGGGAGTTCATATGTGGCTCACAAAAAACATGGAATAATTTGAAATCTTTGATGGAAAGTCATTAAGCAAAGACAACAATATTGGAATAGGACTGACTTGAGCAATCATGAGAAATCCAGGCCTTATTAGAGTTTTTCCTTCACTGAATGTATGTACAAGAAAGACATTTAAATATTTTTTTGCCTAAAATGATGGACTATTACAGAGTTAACAAAAATTGCATGACTTGGCAAAGCATCTATTAGTGTACTCTAAACAGATACAGTGGAGTCACAAGTTTAATACAACCAACAAAAAAAGGAACCCTAAAGTTTGCCTCCTGAGTCTGTACACAAGCGAGTGCTCTGACTTCTTTAACTGCTGAGCCCCCTGTGGCTGCTGCTGCTGAAAGCTGATCTTCAGTATTTTTAGTAACTTGCTCTTCCTTGCTATTGAATTTCTTAACAAGTTCCTGTCATCTAGACTTGTGCAAACAGCAGCTTCTGCACAAATGCCACTGAAAGCGTGATTTGCCATACTGAACTTTTATTAGAGGTGCTCATACGTGAGAGTGAAAGCACCTACCTTCAGTCTCTGATTAAATCTATAGCATTGACAAGAAAACCTATTTTAAACTGGTAAACCTATTTGACAGGTATGCTTGTGAGAACCGGTGAATACAGAGTATCATAACACGACACACAGAGTCACCCTTCAGCCAAGAGCTGCTATTTGACACACTTATTAGCAAGATGCACAAGTTAGGAAACTGGCTTCTGCTCTGTGATTTGTACAAGATAGCACCAACTTGTTCAGAGCACATATACCACCAATAGTGACTTAAATTACATTTTATTGACTGGTAAATGCTTATGTACAGCAACTAGTAAAATCTCACCTATCGCATATGACTTTTAAACCATTGAGAATTGGCAACTGAAAATGTGCAGCGACCACCCAATGACTTCTCATACAGAACTTGGCATACTTCATACCACAAAAGAAACTGCAGACCTCGCTTAAATCAAGAAATTAACTCAACTATTTTATGGAAGAGGGAAGTTTTGAATGGTTGTCCTGGCAATGGACATAACATGAAAGCCAAATCCTAGGCTTTGTAAAATCATCATTTACAACTCCAAGGCCAGAATTCGGCCAGTAGAAACAAGCTACACAGGCTGTTTAAAGCAACCCAAAACAGAGAATTAACCACATGAAAAATATGCTGAGGGGTTACATTGCTGATAAAAGCTGCAAGAGCTCAATTCTTAATTTAGACAGCAGAAGTCAAGCACTATGTGGCCACTAGATACTGCTCTGTGCTTTGCTCTGCAGCCTATACACTCCAGAGCAGATGCCTGCTTGCTTGACCTTAAAAAAAAACAGTATTTTAAACTAGTTGCAGTGCAGGCTGCTGCAAAATGACTTGATGGCAGTAAAATGGTGTGACTCAATTTTGATCTTGTCATATTGCTAAAATGCACAGTACCAGGACTTGCATCTTTGATAATCCACTTGTACTGTACATCTTGACTCTAACACTTCACAACATACAGATTTTTCTTTTTCATATATAATTTTCATTAACCCTTTGCTGGACTCTTGCTCTGGTCCAACAAGGATGTCATACTCAGAGATAAAAGGCCTACTTTACAGCTGAGATTTTCATCTCCTGCACCTCAATTTGTGGCTCCAATTCCTCTGAAAACATGATAGCTAGAAAATGTATTTTTTAAAGAGACTCAAGATTCCTAAAACTCCTGAAAGCTTGAAAAGAATTTACCAAATAAACAGACTGACTGTAATCTCAGTAAAACTGATAGCAGTAGCTGGGAACTCAAAAGATGGAACAATCCAGAATTAAAGGACAACTTTGACACTTCAGCTTTGTTTCTCATGTCTAAACTGAAAAGCGAAGCTGCAGCACCACACAGGAATTTTAACTTGTCTCTGTGCCTATCAGATCCCTTCTGCAGCACCGAAGGAACAATTTTGACACCTAATTTAATTGAACAGACAGTTCAATAAAATCTGCAATTGGTTTGAAGTCATTTTGGATTAAACGTCAGGTCGATAGCTCTTTATAGCTTACCGTGGTTTTGGGACACATGAAATCTCACAGAACAGGTTTTCTACTTGTCTGAATTTCCTCATCTCTATTCTCCACCTGTGATTAAGCAGTTAATTGGACATACAGCCATTTGCAGAGGTCTCAGAAAACACAGTACCGATCCATCGTTGATCTTCTAGAGTCAGCAACAGTTTAAATGGTGACTAGAACCTGAGGTTGAATTTGGATGCCCCAAGCCCACTTTGAATCAGCTTTGACCTCAGTCCTAAGAAGCCCAAGTCCATTTGTATTCAGCATCCTTCTGCACCTCCACTGCCTCTACCTTGATTGCACACAAGTTTCTGTCATTCATTTTGACGCTCATTTTAACTCTCTTTTCTTTCCACAGGAGTCAGACAGGCCTCAGCCTTTATTACATGGGTGAAAAGAAGAACAGGACCTAGCACTGTTTTAATCAACTCTACTGATCAGGCTGAAGCCATCATACGTGCTGACAATTTGACAGTGATTGGCTTTTTTCAAGGTAATTCACTGAACACTCAAAAGGCTGGTTTCTGTTCCAACTTTGGGATATACTATTTGCCATTGCCACCAAATCCCACACATCCAAAAGACCTAGAACTTGCCTGAAAAACCCAGGCCCTCAGTTTTCTCTGCTTTTTTTTTTTTTATTTAATTGTTTCTATCTACATTTTCATACTTCTAGATAAGCAGCCCAGACAGAGATAAGAACATTTCACACCACAGCACCTTTCCTGAATAGGTACCCAGGCACAGAGACCTACCACTCTGAGAGCAGCTTCTGAGAGCATGATGCTACAAGCTTGTTTGCGCAGCCCTGGGCACAGCACACTTTCCTGTATCCTCAGAGAAAAGGCTTCTGCCAAACCATCCCAAATTTGGTGGCTGGTGGGAAGAGGGCAGAACTATTGACCTACCTATCCTCACTTAAGTCCATCCTTTTCTTTGGAGAGACTTAACCCATTGCTGGTGTGGGTTATACTGCTACTGGAGTCTCCAAATACAAAAAGTTGTAATCCCTGCCCAGAGTTGTAATTGATGTAAAAATCTAGGGTTACCTGATCACTGCATTTCTATTCAAACGTGGTGTAAAATCATAGACATGAATAGTGGCAGGCTGTTCTGGTGAAGGAATGTTCCCTTCCTCCTTAAGTCCACCAAAAAAACCAGTAAATATTGTCTAATATACTGGAGTGCCTTTTCTTCATCTTTCCATCTGATGATTTAAACAACTTCAGTGAAACTCAGGGGTGAAGAGCACAGCTCCATGAATATCATGCTAACTGTGGTTTTTAGCTGCTGCCAGCTAAGAAATCTGCATGGATAAGAAGTCATAAAATATTACACTGTATATGATTCAACTCATGTAGTCTTTTCTCAAGCAAATTCCTACTAGTTTCCCGAGCTGAATAAGGTTCTTAGGATTTGGGGCTGAATGATACAGAACAATAGTCAAGTAAATATAAATAGTCAAATAAATAGTGCAAAATAAATTTCAGCTGTCAAGGCATGCAGAAGTCAGTAAACTAGGAATAGTTTTTTCCTGCTTTTTCAATGTGTCCTTGAAATCTTTAATATCTGAAACATTCAATCAAGGATTTTTTTCTAAATAAAGAGACTTTTATTCTGGTATCTCTCTGCTCAGTTAAAAGCACAGTGTCTGGACTCATACGTGAACTGATAAGGTCCCAAATGTGCTGGCTACAGTGGATAGTCCAAGTTTTATGGATGTGGAAAACAGGATTCATTACCAAAATGCCCCATAGTAACAGAGCTGGTGAACACATACAGCATAATAGGACAAACTGTGAAAATGCTCAGAGTGCCCAGAATTTTGCTTTGCAGCAATCTGCTTGCAGCCATTTATGAAGGAAGGCAGTTTTCCAGTGCTGGGCCAGATTGAGAAGCCCTTGCTATTGCAGTGATGCTGGAGAGTCCCCTGAACCATGCTGATAAGTGTTTGACTGGACTCTGACTTCACTCAGGGGCTGAAATGACAATAGATGAGCATGAGCTAGGGCATGTCAGAAATTTAATGGGTGGAAGCCAACAAAATAGTGTCCAAGTAAATAAAGAGCTGTATTTGGCCTTCTATTAGTCACAGATTGCTCACAAATGTGAGTGCCAAGATGTGTTGGGAGGTCTCACCATATAAATTACTATTCATCTAGCATGAAATACTTGTCTGATTAAATAAAATCTAGAAGCGCTGTTGCCTTTCATCATGCTTATTTACTATTAATTTGGGGGTGGACAGCACAGTGACTATGTGACAGATGTAGGAGTCAAGGTCCCTGCCTTGAAGAGCACTCAGTCAAAGCACCAAACACAGCAGTCAGGTCCTCTTTCAAGCGGAGAGCCCTCCTCTCTAATCTATCACATCCTGCTGGCTCTGCAGACGAGCTGCGGCAGGGGAGCAGCTGTTGGCATGATCCTTCCCCATCTGCAGAAGTCTTTGCAGAGTGTGGAAATGCCAGGGGAGTGCAGGGCAGATGACATTAGCGCAGGAAAGACACAGGGGACCATACACCATCCATATTGACCCAGCCCAGCCAACACTAGCTGGAAAGGTGAACGCACTAGTGGTGTCACAGCACTCCTAGGATCTCCCCTGTTGTGAAGATCTCCCCTTGGAGGTAATCATGGCAAGCTATACCCACAATTACACTCTCTTCTCCACCTCACAAGCCTTTAGGGGCCTGTCTCACCTGTAGCTCTCACTCCTACACATCCTAGCAGGATACAGGACACAGTCTTAAATACTCTTTCTGGGACTAGGAACTTCACAATGACAGTGGGGAACTTTTCCGTGAGACGGCAAGAGAAGTGCCAGAGATGCCTTTCGGGATGACAGCCAGCGAGGACATCTGTGCTAACTATGGCATCCAAAAGAACACTCTTGTGTTTAAGAAGGTAGGAATGCAAGTCTAGCAGGCAAGGTGCAGTGAGCTGCCGTGGCAGCTTTGGGCTACGGAAAGGCAGTTTGGGAATTTTTCAGGTTGAATAATTTCCTAGCTGAAGTTCAAACAGCTTAACACAAAAAATATTGCATTTACAGACAAGAGAGACAAGCAGGAGGCAAACAGTAACCTTCGGACAACTGATATTTTCAATCTGGCTGCCTACATGCAGGTTCCTAATTTATAGTTAAGGATCTGGATAAAATGGTTTTAGTTTCCAACCCACCATTCTAATCAACATGTGCTGCCAGGTTCAATGAGTTTTGCAGACGTTCAGTTCTTTTCCTTTGTGTTGCTTTTGGCCAGGAACCTTCTTTTCTTCCAATCCACAACAAAAGAAGTGGCCAACAACAAGAACAAAACTACACAGAAGTAGCACCAACATTTAGGCTATGAAGTAGTCAGACTAAGGATGTCCTGAGTGAGAGTATGTCACAGACAGTGTGTATAAATATAGAAAAGATCTTTCAGTATGTAAAGATTACTGAGCAAATTAAAACTATCAGCTCTACCTGGAATTTTAGCTATCATCTTGTTCTGTAATCTAGCTGTGACATTCATTTTACAAGTTATGTAATTTCAGTTACTGAGGATCATAAAATAGCAAAACTGAGAACAACATTTTAGAGTAAAGACAGTCTCTTTGCTCCTATAGTTGATAAGGCCAACAACCTCATAAAGTTCACTGTTTGTCCAAGGGACAATAATGAAGTGCTTGAAGATGGCAGACAGAACAAACTGGATCTAACGAGGCTAATCAAAACCTTTACCTTGGATTTGGTCACTGAATATGATCTTGAGGTACGTGTATTTCACTGTATTAACAAAAGCCACAGGAGAAAGACAGAAAAGACAGGAATCAATGCAAAAAGAGACCTAGGGAGCTATTCTGCTCCTTAGTGTTTGACTAGGCCAACCCTAAACACATCTAGAAACACCAGCAGAACCCAACAGGCAGCTCTTGGTCTAATCCAGGCCAAAGGATGCTTCCCTCTGGCAAGATGCTGTTTCTTAGAGGAGACAGGGAACGGTTGGCCAAACAGTGAACTTGCCTGAACATGCAAACACCTCCCTCCTGTGGAGCCAACACAAAGGCCTGGGCTGCTTCTGCAGCAAACTAGGTAGGGTGGGAGGTTGGAAGGTCAGTCCCTATCCTGGCTCCAACCCTTCCACTCCCATGCAGCAACCAGGTCCTCTGGGCCAAGACAAGGAAGAAAGAAACCAGCAATAACTGTTGGTAGTGCAGGTAGGAAGGGAAAGACATGGAAATACCTGCTTGCCTGGGGGACACCCCATTGCCTCTAATCATGGGGTGGCATGAGAAAAAGGGCAGCTTTGTGCAGGGAAGGAGACATAAGCTGCTGGTGCCACCCAGAAATGAAGGAAGTACCCCAACCAGGTCTAGCTCCTACAGCTGCTGCAGTTGGGCCTCCTTGGGTAACGCTGCCTTTTACTTTCAGCACATCTTTAGCATTAATTCTTCAGTGTATGTTATATAGGAGGTCAGACTAGAAGATCGTAACAGTCCCTTCTGACTGTAAAAATCTATGAATAACAATAAGGTTTTTCCTGGAACAGAGAAAACACTCAGCAGCTGCTGATTCTTCTCACTATCTTCTTTAAAACAATGAAAAAAATCCAACGGTTATGGAAATGATTGGGAACTCAGTCTTAAAAGTAAAATTTGCAATAGCAGAACTGAATGATACTGATACTCTGAGCCTCTGATTCACTGTTCTGCTTACAAAGAGTGGAACAGATGTTGAGTCTTTTGTTTCCCAGACATCTGTGAAGATTTTTGATGTCCCTGTTGAAAATCACATCCTGCTGTTCACCCCAACAAACTTGGAGACATTCAATGCAATTCATGAAAACTACAAGTCTGCTGCTGTGGAATTTAGAGGAAAGGTTTGTAGCGCTGAATCCTGCTTTGCAAATATGAATGCCAAAAGATCAATGGAAAAACACGCACCAATGTTACTGGTAAAAGTACACTGCTGTCAGTCCATCTTTAAGTCTACCAAACCATTTAAAAACAGTTTCAGTAACTATTCTTTGAATTTGTTAAGGACACAAACTGAAAAATAAACTTCACTTGAAAATGATTCTTTAAAATGCAAAGATCACACAATCCAACACTAATTCCACCTGCTCCAAATAAACCTGTTTCTGATTTCACAAACAGACTTTCTAGGAGCAACTTCCAACCAAAGATAGTTTTAGCAAGATTCTGGCAATTTCTGCCAGCACCAGGAAATGCCATGAGGATCACAGGATATTGCCTGAACCAAGAGCTGGAACCAGCTACAAAACCTGAGAAATATTGCAAGGCATCTGCATAGCCTTGCTCGCAGCACAAGTGTTTGCATGTGTATAAACAGGTATAGGCAGCCATACACAGAAGTATTTCAGTTTTCCATTGTCAATCACTGTGGTGCTACTCCTGCTCCAAGCACGTGAGACACTGAAGAATGGCAAGTCATTTTGTAGTAAAATATCACACATTAGTATTGGTAAAGACATACGGATTACAGGTGTTTCAGCTCTTTTGTACTGTTAAGATTTATTAGGAAGAGCAACAAAAGCTTTGAGGGGTAATTTAGAAGTGTTACTAAAACAGGTGATAGCAAACTATTGTGAAAGGACAGAGGGAAAAGCTCCATTCCTTTTAGCTGCTTTAGCATTTGTTATTAACTAGGATCAAGGTATGATAAAGTCCACAAGAGGTGCTGGTTGTTGGACTGAGACCAAAAAATGGTTCCATGCAATTTCTTGCATTTAATGTTAGATCCTAACCCACTGCCAAACTCCATGGTCTGTTTCTCTAAAATCACTAAACCAAAGCTGGAAGACTCAACCAGATGTATGACTCTCTCTTTATTATCAGATAATGTTTATCTTGGTGGATACTAATGAAACAAGGAATGGACGAGTTTGAGTATTTTCCTCATGAGGGAGGTTGACGTTCCCGCCGTGAGAATCCTAAATCTGACAAGCAATGCAAAGTACAAAATGCCTGCACACGAGGTGATTGTGGAGAACCTAAAAGAATTTTGCCAGAGCTACCCTAAATGGAAAAGCAAAGGTATGTCCATTACTAATGAGACGCCCCTCTACTACACCAGCTAAAACTAACAAATTTTCAAAACATCCCTTTTTTTATTAAAACAGTGTGCTGTTCCCATCACTCGTTTACTAATTTACTCTCACTCTGATGCATTCATCTACAGTTGTTGACAGAGCATTCCTCTGTATTTAACAACTGAGGTAGACTGTAACAAAGTTCTCCAGTCATCCTATGTAGAAACTGGCTAAATCATTTATGGCCCAATATTTTAGTTGATTTCAGCTGATGTATTTTAGTGGTTTAAAAACTCCCTAGGTCTCAATCTTTCCAATACTATAATGGAAATATTTCACTCCCTTAGTTGGAAGAGATGCAAACAATGATTGCAACGGATTTTGAGGTTACGGAGAAGTCTAGTAAATAGAAAATCAACAGTTTCAGAGTGGAGTAAGATTTCGTATTTGTTGTAAGCCCCTTCCACTCCCATACTTTTCACAGGGGGGATCATTCTCAGTGGTAAATACAGTATTTGTTGTCATAATGAGGCATCATCCTCCACACTCACGTGAAAAATACTTTAAAATGTTTTGCTTATTCAGTGCTCTTCAGGGTGATTTATTTTTGTTTCCATCACGAGGAGAAAAGATGAAGTAGTCAGTCTGGCAGCATGCAGAATTTAAGAGATTTGAGTAGTAGATCCTGATTTCAAGCAATGTTGGAGGGGGGCAGAAGGACAGAAGAGGTGGGGATGTCTCCTTTTCTCCACTAATACCTGCTTGAGTGGCACACTCCCACCAGCGAACAGCTTCCATGGGGAATGTGTGCCTCTCTACTACTGCACTGTGGTGTAAAAGAAAAGAAATTGCCAGCTAATACTGTAAATTGTAGGAGTCATGTGGGGACTGTGATCGGTGGTGAAGGCAGAGATTTAAGCAGCAATGCACACTTACTTGTGTGCTTTACATCACTTTTGAGAGCCCACAACAGGCAAGCTTTTCAGTAGTCTAGCTTCTGAACACTGGGCAACAAGAATTCAGGACAATTAATGCAATTGTGTTCCAAAGGGTCATTTTCAGACAATCTACTATGGAGTCTGTATTGAAGAGAGGGACAAGTAATTCCAACTACCAACTATGCAGGGGTGCAAGAGCCCAGCTCCCTGCTGAAGGGAGAGAAGGTGGTAGCATGTGAAGGCTGGCTAGGATGTAGAGATATAAAAAATAACATACAGTAACAGTGCACATTGGGTAGAGAAACATCCCATCGGTCTGACACTAACTTGAGCTGGAGTACAGTTTCTCAATGCTCCTTGCACTTTCACAGCAGTGTTTCTCTTTCTGCTTAGCTATATCTATCTAGTGAAGAAGGTCCAGAGGACAGGGACAAGATGCCTGTCAACGTGCTTGTTGGGAAGAATTTCAACAGGATTGTCTTCAATAAGACCATGACTGTGTTTGTCATGTTTTGTAAGTGGTGGTGTTGTATTCAGATTTGAAGTTGCTTTAACATGATCAATTGGAAGTGAAAAACAAAAGCTTATGCTTACATACCAAACTGATCTTTGCACTTTACAGAAGCTGAGCTTAATGAATTTTTGTTGTCCGATGAAAGCATTGAAGAAAAATTTGTGTCATATCTATGGAAACACTGTGATACCTTTGCTGACTTAGAGTGTCACTGGATCCCTTAAGTTAATATTTGTAAAGGCCGTATCAAATCTGTGTTGAAAGACAAAATGACACTAGAACATCATGTTGTACAATGGAACATTACAGCGTGCTGTACAGTATGAGTCAGGCTGTCTTCCAAGGACAGAGGGAGAATTAAGTGAGGTTGTCTGGTTATAATGCTCCAGGATTAAATCCCAGAGAGGAGTCGTGGTTAGCAAATCGTAACGCCTTTTATCCTCCTCTGTCTGCAAGGGAAGTGGCTTTCCTGCTTGACTCTTCCCAGCAAGAAACCACTGCCCTATCCCTGTACCAGCCAGCAGGGATTAGTTTGTGCCTTAGTTACTTCAGTAGAGCAAACATGCAGCATTAACTGCATTAATTTCTGCATTCCAGAAATTCTTAAAGGTACATTCCTGCAATCCTCCTTGTTGGCTGCAGCCATTTCATTCACGCAAGTAATTTTTACATTTCAGTATCATGAACAAACTGATCTAAGCAGGAATTGAACCAAGTCCTTTGGAAATGAAAGGCTGGTAAATGGGATATAGTGTATTCAGGAAAGTGCCCTAGAAATTTTAATTCCATCTGAACTAAGTATGAGCATTTTTCTCATGACTGAAGGATTGCAACCGTACTGTATACTCTTTAAGAGGATACTGGGTTCTCAGCAGTTAGCCTTTTTGTTAACCTGCATGAGTGCAGTGCTCAGAGTCAAAACACCACCATACCTCAACCTCCTCCTTTTAGTGTAAGCATAGCATAGTTTATGAACACAGTTAATAGTACGCAGAAAGCATTTTGTGCTTCTGGCAAGTATTTCACCATGGGAATGATGCAAGACTTACTTGGGTTGCGTTGGTTATCTGGCACGCCTCTCCAGCAAAGTCATATGAGAAGTGGTGTGTGTTTGTTATAGTCATAAAAGGCTAAACAGAGCTAAAGCAGCACTGCTATCAGAAACGCATTAGTGAGTAGCTAGTTATCACTACATGAAAACTCATGAAATTCACGAAGGATGAATGGTTTCAAGTAGAGACTGACCACAACTGAAACCCTATTAACTTTAAGGGCTAAATGGGTCCCAGTGATTGCACCAGCACATGCTCTTCTGCCAGATTGTATCCTTCTACTTTTATTTTTAAATTTGCAGATGCACCTTGGTCCTATAACTGCAGAAAACTCCTGCCAATCTGGGATAAGCTAGGAGAGCAATATGAAGGTTGCAAAGATATAATCGTTGCAAAGGCAGATGTCAGAGCAAACGACATCCTGTCCGTTGGATTAGATTGCTATCCGTTCTTCAGACTCTTTCCTGCTGGACCAGATTACCAGGTGAGAAACTGTCGGGGAAGAATGTGGAGACACAGCTGCACACCGAGCAGGGATGTGTGTGTGTGTGTTTGCACACATGCACGTGTCACGGTGAGAAGGAGCCCTTTAAGCAAGAAAGCTTTGGTCCTTATCTACTCAACATTGCATTCACTGCTGTCAAGAACCTGAATCAGAAGACGATAGAAGGGTTTCTCCTCTCCTATGTGTGAGGCTGTGGCAAGAGCCCATTTACTGTCTTGGACCTACAAGTCATTACAGCCTTACATTCTGCTGTTTAACAACCTCCAATCTGCCTGTTGGGTTCTAGCAACAGTCTCAACTCAGAGTGAACTTACAGATACCTCCTCATCATTGCAGTGCCTCTTTACTTCAAACCATGACAAGAGATGTACTGTCATAGAGCTACCCTGTGCTAGTTGTTTCTGGAGCAGGTACGACTACAGCCTCTAAAATGCTGGTACTACTCGTGTTATATCCTCTACATTTTCACAAAACCCAAATCCCAAAACTTTCTTCTATATACTTATGCCAGTAATTTTACCTCATTCCAGTATCACAGCCTCAATTGGGAATAAATATTTGTTGTCAAGACGAATGATCTTTACAATATGCTCCCTAATGCATCAGCTATGTTACACAATAATAAGGAAATGCTGCTGAAAGAGGAGGCAAAGAAAAATATTAAATAGTTACACTCCTCCATCTACATAGTTAATCTAATTAAAAAGAAAATATCTCTGAAGCAAAGAAAAAATTAAATTCTAAGATACTGTTATAATTAAGACATTACTAAGCTTTTCATTTTTCTTCTTAGTCCTAAACTTAAATTAAATTCTAAGACATTTGCCCATGTCCTCATTTAATCTTTGAGGGAGAGATTTTCCTCTTGGATGTGCATGCACAGCTTCTAATGAATTGAACTGCAGTCCTGCACACTCACACCGTGTTTAGTCTTTATGCAGAAAAGCAGAAACCCATTAAATGCTCATAATAAATGTCAGTTTGTCAAAAAATATCAGTAACAACTTTCATTAACTATTAAGGGATTGTTTCATACTTACAAATACCCTGAAATTAAAGAGTATTTGAAATCTCAAGTTCTTCCTTGTGCACCATGTTTTTATATTAGTTCCCTCAACTTCAGAGATTTTAACTTGTACTTGACTACAGTGCAGGTGTCCTGTAGACATCTGCAGTCTTGCAGACCCAAGTGTTCTGGCTTTCTTTCTTATAGCACTATACGAACAGCTGGCCACAGACATCTTTACTCACTACAGACAATCATAAATGATCCGAGAGACACTCAAGCCATTAACAGCAACAGCTCTCAGTCATTTCCTACCCAGCCAGCAGTTATACCAGGAATTCTCCCATGTATACTTGTCCTTTTCTAGAAATTAACCAAAGTCAGAGCACAGGATACAAATGTAATATCACAACGTGCCAAGGCTCAGAGTTATCTGCTGTGTTTTTCACTGTATAGGCACTGCCCCAAAACTATGATCCCTACCACCTTATTCTAGCCATGAAAAGAGCAATAGAAGGGACTTGTGGCTGAAGATAAACTGGTATGTTCAGAATGAAGAAAAAGAGGAACAGCAAATATATACAGTCCAACAACAACACCTGATGCAACCTTGATTTCACAGACATCTTTTCTAGCCTTCAGTATTTTGCTAGTGTTAGAAACAAACACATGAGCTTTCCAATTACCTCTACCGATCCTTCGCATTGTTTAAGGACTAAGGGTGAATTGAACGCTAGTGCAGAAGCAGAAGGAACTCTAAAGATGAAATAACTATCATAAGACTCTAGAAAGCACATCAAAATGCACGTAAAGGAGACTCTAGAAAGCACATCGAAATGCATATAAAGAAGTCTGAACCTGCGCCTGATAAACCAAGGGAAATGTGGCTAACAACACAACCCAAAGCTGTTTTCTAGAACTGGGTTATGTTCTCTGGCCACCACAGACACTCTTACAGCTCCTTAAAGGCAAAGCCATGGGCAGAACACATTATTATGCAGTGTCTTCCGAGCACTTTCACCTGATGAGATCATATTAGATACTACCCTCCTCTGAACAGAAGTACCTGCTAGGTCTCAAGGCTATGAACTGCCTTCTTTACAGTGGACTGTCACTCTTTAGTCTGTTTAAGAACAGGTTCAGCTTTTCCTGAAGTTAATGACAAATCACCCTCTTACTTTCATTGGATGCAAAACCAGATGCATGACAACATTTTTAAATCAGGAGCCACTTCAGGTTAACTGGAGTTAAGCGGAGTCGGATAAGCTAAGAGACCTAGATCTATAGGTGGGCATGTGCCCGGTTTTCCAAAGCACCAACTGAGTGTTTCCATGCTGGGGAACAGTTAGAGCCAGAGCTGAAGGAACAAGAGAGTGAATCTGATGAATTACATGGAGGAGGGAGTGACCAGGCATCATCTGAGCTCCATCTGTGAAGCTGACGAACAACTCATCCGCTGCGTCATCCACTCCAAATTTAAAAGCAAAACATGCAGTCTTTCAGGTGGACTTAAGATGATTCTATTTGTTTCTATGGATTAAGTGAGAAAAATAACATTTACATACTCTTACGCCCTGATTACTCTAATGAGAAGTGTTGAAACATATCCTCAGTAACCAGTTCAGGGATCAGCTGCTTCTCTGACTTTATAGGTCTTCAGGCTCTGAGAAATTGCTGTTCCAGCCATCATCAGAGTCAATAAAAATCAAGACTCATCTGAGAATATTAGTTACCTCTGGAGGAATCAAATAATCTTTCTCAAGAAACTTAAGCTTGCAAACATAAAAAAATAACTTCAAGGCTGCCACACTTTTTATTACACGAGAATACCTTACTGAACAGAAATATCAAACCTGTGTATACTTTTAGTGAATTCACCAGAGAATGGAGGTGTTCTGTTTACAGTCCCTTGAACTCAAATCAGGCAGAGTAACTAGTGTAAAGTAACACAGCATTATTGGTCTCAGTGGGAGTGAGCGAGCTTAACCCAAGTGAGAATAGGCATCTGCCTATTTCTAAATACATTCAGTTAACAGCAGACAACTCCCAATGTCATGCAAACGAGCTTCTACAACTTTTTGTTAAAAGACTTGTGCAAGATCCTTTTATACTTCCAGAGAGCAAAGGGAGGATCTTTAATAAACAGTATGGTGCCTAGACCTACTCAGAATTTAAAGCTCTAAACTGAAAATGCTTCTTCTATTAAACTTCCTCAGAAGAAAATCCTCAGTAAACCCCATCTTAAGGTGAAGTATAAGAAAATTAATGCCACTGCTCATCTTCCTCATGTTCTTCCAAGCTGTGCAACAGCTGGTACGTCTGGACTGTGTATTTCAAAACTTTTTCAGAATTTGAATTTCCATCAAAATCTTTAGACAGCTTTGAATATCATGGCTGGACACTTAAAAGACTCTGCTCTTCAAAGTATCTTGCAAATGTTTATTGTTAAACACAGAAAAGACACTGATGTCACTAGTTGGCAGGATCCCAGACCAGTATTATACAATAATGGTTATGGGTTTTTTTGTTTTGTTTTGTGTGTATGGTTTTTTTTGGGTTTTTTTTTTTTTTTTTTTAAACACAAATCCTTTTTTTCTTAGGGATATACATCCGTTTCTTCTTTACACTTGAGTTTCAGGTGACATTGGAACCTGCTGTGCCTCTGCCCTCACTTTCTAAACTGCACACAAAAGACTGGAGTTCGGTCAGTGTAAAGAACTGAAATCCTCCAGCTGATTATGCTGTTTTTTGCTAGCATTTTGTGTACAGAATTAAATATTTAACCTTAAAACTCTTTTCAGGAGGTGGCCTATGCCAGGGAGCATACTTTGGAGGCATTCTCTGAATTCTTAGAAGAACAAAGCAAGACAAAAGCAGAACCAGGAGAGAAGGTAGGCATTTGATCCAGACACTGACTGATCTGCTGTGTAGTCATCCAAGGCATGTTCACAGCTTGTATAGGCATACCTGAACTGGCTATAGCATAGCCACATGTGTGGGCTTCAGCCACTGCTCTTGTCAATACTTGGGTGGTTCTTATCAGCTCTTAGCTCATTTCACGCTGACAAGGCTTGGCATGACCACACTAGCTGCAGTCATATACCACTGCCTGGCAGGCACATGCCCACTCGCATCCTTGTTTTCATCACACAAAAAACTCCTCTCCTACGGCTCACGTGATCACCAAGTCACTACATTAACACTCTGGTAGTGAGTGCTGCATGGCAGAAAGGAACCTGCACCTTGACAGGTGTAAGCAAAACTTTGTCAGGATTTTAGCTGGGAAAAAGAAGCCCCAGCTAAGTTAGTTTCAGCGATAGCTGGAGTGGTTCAAATATCCATTGCCCACCTCATCCCTGCCACATTCAGTGCGGCTTCTCTTCTTCATAAAGCAAGGGCACAACTGAGAGCAGACACTGTCCCCTCTCTTGGCAATCCGGTCTGATTATTGTCTGATTCCTCAACCCTTTTTCCTCCACTGTAAATCAGACCAGATAAGCATTAGCTGTCCCAGATTTAGCCTGTTACTTAATCCCAGACACTTCATTGCAAAAAGACATACTGTAAGTGAACCATGTGATCAAGCTCCACGCAGACAGCTCTAAGCAAAAGAAAAAAAAATTACAGAGATGGAGACACTGTCCACCCAGTATAAGAATCATAGGCCCATTCTACCTGGAAGTGAAGTAGATCCACAGGGTAGCAAGAGTTGTCATTAATGCTCTTTTCAACTAGTAGGGAAACTGTCTGTGGGTGGAGAAACAGTTTTGAGTTTTCAGACTTACTTCCACCAGAGGTTTTGATTTGCTCCTGAATTCACTCACTGCTCAAATAGGTGGTTACAGATGGAGAGAGATGACTGAGAGATGACAGATGACTGAACTAATATTGGGACACAGAAGTCTGCAATGAAGGATCAGACACCCAGCTCTGCCCAGTCATTGTACAATTCTGTTTTCCAATACCAAAGCCTATGTTTGGTGTATGCCTCTGTGGCATGTTCTTTAGCAATGTGTTTGAAGCAGATCTGTTGAGTCCTACACGCAGTCTTTTACATACAATGATAGAGCTGTGTATATTCTGTCATCTCTTCTTCATGCTTTATTTCACATTAAAGAACAAGTAAAAAAGCCAGTTTAGGAAACATACCATTCAAAAAACATGCTCTGTGTAGCAAAAGGGGTAAGTAATTGGCATTTGCTCATCTGTTCACATTCTCCATCCTTACCCAACACCCACCAAATTTTCCCAGAAGACTGCAGTATTAGACCATTTGCAGTACAGCGCTTAATGTGAAGTCCCCTGTTGGAGTAACGCTTCATCCTCACCTCAGGGCATTCACAAACACACAAACAAGATAAATAAGAAGATAGTTTCTTTTCAGATTGCCTAGGAAAGACTGTCTTATGCCTGTCATCTTACCAAACAGTTTTCCAAGTTCTTGTTAAACCTTCACACAAAGCCTCATCTAAGCTTTGCCATAAACCAGTGTAAAGGTTTGAAAACAAAACATATTTTAGCAACAGCTGCACTACTTCTGACCTCATTAACAAGCCCTCAAGTTCCTTGGTTGAAAAGATGAAAATCTGCATTTCGTATAATCTTAAAAAAATTTTTTGAAGTAAAGAATTACTAGAGCAATTCTCTTTGTGAACATCAGTAATAATCAGCTTTGCTCTTGCATTTCCTTTTTTGAAAAGGATCCTTCAGGAGGAATCAAGGAGGATCTCAGCCAAAAAGAGGCTGTAATAACAGAGAAAGAAGAACTTTAGTAGTACAAAGAAAGAGTAAAATTCTGAGGATTGTGGGGAATCCTTCCTGGAAGGAACTCACTGGAAGAATGAATCATCTCAAGTGAACACAGAGCTGGATCAAAAAATAAAAGTAAAGAATTCAGCATCCACAGCTCATTATGTGTGACACCTCTTCTGAATCCAATTTAACTCCTAGTTTTACTGGGATCAGTTGTCATGGGTTCTTAAAGTATTGTCAATTTTGCTTAAATAATGCCTTTATTATGAATAAAACTGCTCTCATTTAGAAAGGTGTATGTGCCATGGCAAATGGATCAAGATATAAAACTATTCTTTCTGAACAAAATCTGCAACAGGTTTGCAACCAGTTGCTCTCCAGTTTACCCTAAGACAGCCCTATTGTTTTCAAGGGAGATTAACTGCTCCCAGAAGGATGGGACAAACATTGCAAAGAGCATTTCTATAGTGATCTTCAAAAGAAGTAATTGAAGCTAGGGGCTATGCCCAAAGGGCCGTTCATGATTTTTTCATTATCAAGCAGTAGAAAACGCAGAAATCAAGATCTAATTTAATTCCAGTAGGAAAAATATCATACCTAATACACAAAATCACAGGTATGATTGCATTTTAGTTATGTTAGGTCCCCTAACCACCCCACACAGGTTATAAAAGTGCAGCTGGTGAAACTGCGGGACAATAGTAATTTCTTCCTGCAAGGGCCAGATAAAGCAGAAATAATTCTGAAAATTTGAAACCTTTTCTTACAGAATTAGGGAAGGAAGGTAATTTATTAATCTTTCATTTCAAAAGCAGATTTCTGAAGTCTCTGTTCCCAACTTGTTAATAAGTTACTTTCCTATATAAGCAGCGGAAAAAAGGTGAAAACTTACAAAATGAAGGAACACCCATTTGAATGGAAGGAAGATTAATCACTGCAGTGAAGAATACAGCACTGAAAGAACAGTAGAGATCTCCTAACTCTCACTTGTCACGCAAGTGAACAAAAGATGGACAATTTTAAAGTATTTGACCTCTTACATTTTACAATTATTTGCTAAAAAGTGCAGTTCATGACAGATGGCTTGTTTGCTATCGAGGCTGCAATGTGTAATTAAGTACCTGCACTTAGAGATTTAAGATGAAATATTAACTTCTCTACTTCACAGTTCTTGCAAATAAATAGCACTCAACATGCAACACACTAACCTCACAAGGCCATCAGTTGGCCTTCACTGATGAGGAGTAAACAAGAAGACACAGAAAGTAAAACAGTTTATGTTGGTACTTCATGGGCACAGTTTAATCTCTGCTGGGGCTAACGTTCATTGGGACTGCAATTAAATTCTCTTAATGGAAGAGGATTCTTGTGGAAGCTTGTTCAGTGCCAGATCATCATTCCCAATACAGTCCTGTTGCGGAGGCTCATGAAATCAAATTAGCAGGTGATAGATTCAAAAATAAACTTTATTTTAACCAAAATTGTTTAGCAGAAAACTAACTAGAAATGAGGTGTCAACACCCCGACAACATCAGTAAACCACAGGTTCAGGATGGTGTGCGAGGGATTAATACTGCACAGCCGGCTTTAGAAATGAGGATCCAAAATGTGCAGTCACTCACCTATAGGATGAGGGCTTTCAACCTCGAGGAGTTTCCTTGGGCAGCGTCCCAACCCAAGGGGAGAGTCCCTGACCGCAGACCTGCTGCTCCGAGGAGGACCGGCTCCCCTTGCCCTTCGGTGGGGCTCCATTTATACCCTAGTCAAATCTGATCTGTGGTCAGTTCTAATCGGCTGAGGGCCTTAACTTTCTTACTCCTCGCCCGAGGTGTATACATGACCATAATTACTGGCCCAAAGCATGTATGTGATGGTCAGCACTCACCACCTTAAGGGCGCGAAAAGTATGGACGCAGCAGTCTTAATGCCCCCAGTCTTTATCAGGGCAGGTGCACCTGCCACAGGCCCACCTGGGTTTTGTAGGTCTTGGACCTAGTTTCTTGAGAGGCTTCCTTAGGCTCTCTGAAATTGGTGAAGACCGCTGATCAGATGGGCTCCACACATTCAGGTTTCTGCGAGCTGCAGCTCCCTCCTCTGTCCCAGCAACATCACCTACAAAGGCAAAAGGAGCTTAATGCTACATAAGGAAACTGTAGCTTAAAAGTCAGGATGGTAGACCTGAGAGATGCAGCCCACTCCTTCACTTGTAATTGTGAACCACAGCTGAGCTATTATTATTTAAAGCAAAATTCTTCTTTGAAGATGCCAAGTAAAGTTTAATTCTTGTGTTTTTAGGACAGAGCAAATTTTTGATAGAACTGCAATACAGTGCAAATCAAAGTCTCACGTAGCAGCAAGAGGAAAACATGGGATCCCAGATACCAGGGTGCTGGTTTTAAAGAGATCAACCTAAGTTTGCTGTGGGTGGAAACGCCCACTCCAGCCAGACAGCATGGGATACAGTTAACAGTAACAAGGGTGCTGAGAAACACTTAAGAGGACTTTATTTACAAATATCACACAGAAACAATGACTTGTCAATTCAACCACTGAAGTATGCCAAAACTGTTTCTCTTATACACAACTAAAGAAGTCAATTCTCCTTTGGACATCAAACATGAGTTCTCTGGGACACTGCCAGAAGGGCCTTGCACAAAGTAAACCTGATCACTGCTGGATATTGGGTTTAATTTAACTTTCATTTAACATTGGGCATTCATTAACAAACAGAAACCCTCATCTGATATCCTGGGAGATCAGATTAGAAAGTGAATGAGATGAACTGAATCCCAAAGAGAGGGAAGTGTCAGCATGCTTTCCCTTTGCTGCTTGCAACGTGATGAAATTTGAATGGCAAGCAGTGCCACCAATGTATTTTGAACAACTATTAAACACAGAAGCTATAATCTTTTAATTAGTTTCCTCACAGAAAAATGGAGCAAGCAATGTTCAGTACCACTCTGTATCTGGCAGATGGGTTTACCATTCAAGATAATGAAAAAAAATTAATTTTCACTGCGCCTACCCACTGTATACGAGGCTTAATCCTGAAACTGCTATCTATCCTATTATAAGGTGCAAGATTACATATTAATGAAAACATGTGCCATCTCGGCAAATGATGTTCTCATTTCTATTCCAGCCACTCTCAGATGTTGTGTCAAGACAAGGGGCCAAGTGCAGACTCACATGCCATGCCCTGATGCACGACAAGAGTTGCAAATCTACTTTAAAAAGCATCTGGTAAAAGACTGCCTGAAAGGCAAGTCTTCCTGTAGGCGAAAGTCTGCCTCGTTACTGGCTGGGTTGGGTTCCTCCAACCCTCAACCATGGCAGGACATGCACTCCGTGCCAGGCAAGTGGCCTTGCACATTGCCTCATTCTCCCTCTGACCCAAGTTAGTTCCAGAATATTTTGCTAGAACAAAAATTTAAGTGTTTTAACCAGATTCAGAAAACCCACCACCAACTCACTTCCCCTATACTGCCAACTTCTGTCAGTTTAAGAAACAAAACTCTTAAACACTCTGTAGTGACTCCTCAACTCTCACAAGCAGAATTGAGTCCTAAATGTCTGAAATGGAATCACTTCCTCAAGCTTTGCTAAGTCAAATGCTAATTCTTTTATTTTAGTCTAAACATGAAGTGAATCTGTTTAATTTTAAAGAGTATATCATTATAACTGTACTCAGACATTCTAAAAATTATTTAAATCCATGCAAAAAAACTCCCACCAATGTTTATTAGTCAAATTTGTTCCTGTAAATGAATACCAATATTTTGAATGCACCAGTATCACTGGGTTTTAATCATATGAAAAATCTCCCTGTGCACATAAATAAGCCCTATCAATAAGACTGACAGGACTAAGTAAAGAGTTATCAATGTGTACCAACTGTGGATCTGGTTTAATCTGCAGCATCAAGATGGCTTGGTTATCAATATGGAGCAGTGGAAGCAACACTCCCAGCTAGGAATCTTACTTATAAAAGAACTCACAAACAAAATGTGAAGCATAGCAAAGTTTAATACAAAAAAGGGGGTAAACCTGAACCATCCCCAAGAAATGCTAACTTGTTTTTTTACTAAACGGCAGCCTATTCTGCCTTAAAATAAAAGCTTTGAGCAACCTTACAGATAGCAATTCATCTCATTAAGTTCTTTTCTTAAATTCTGGAGAAGAAAAACATGGTTCAGAACTGACAATCATTTATAAATGCTCAGATGCACAGGAAAAATAATCAATCTTAAAGAGAAATGCAATAATTCTTTTCATCTTTATAACAGCTTCATCCTAGCTTAACTCCCCTGGAATTACTCTCAGCTGGCATCAGCATAACAGAAACAGAACCACAATACATTAAAAGAGATTAATAAAAATGCACAACAAATGTATTAACCGTTCAAAAAACCCTGATGTGCGGAAGTGGCATAAGTGGTATAAATCAAAAGGTCTGGCTTGCAGTTCAGGAGTTTGGTTTTAGTAGATATATATGTATGCGCTACATGCTTGAAGCCTGAGGGGATGGCCAGAAGGAGGTGTCTAAATCCAGCATTTCAGGCATTTAATTCAAAGACTTGGATTGTCAAACTCCGTATTAGGAAGCCTTTAACTCTGTCTTACCTTCCTCTCACAGTCACTCCTGATAGAAAAGAGAAAGGAGTTTGCTCCATTTATACAGAAATATTAATGAAAAGGAGGAATTCACACTTCAATAAAAACATACTATTGTGTTAACTCAAGTGGATTTTGACTGATGGAAATTACTCAGCTCAGATGTTTTAAAACTATGCTTGGTATAATCAACTGTGACGGGGGAAGGCGGTTGCGTTCATTTAAAACTTTGATTTGGGAAATGCTTTAAACCCATCTGTCCCCTGGGCTTGTGGCCACGCTATTGCGTCTGTGCATCAAGAGTCCCACACAGGCTGACAGTCATTCACTCAGGTTCGTAGCCAATTCAGAGGGCTTCCAGGAGGATTTCACTGCTCATGTTTCATACTCGATTCACTATATTTGG